TGAAAAGGGTCCAATAAAAACAGAAAAATAATGTGGTTGATTTCCATACGCGCATGCTTAGGACAATAATAATATCTTTCATTAATCACTCCAAAAATCGATTATAAACATAATTAGTTGCATATTAAGGGTGAAATGTAATGTCCGAAATGAGATCCGAAATATTACGTCCGAAATGTGGATCCGTATTGCATGTCCGAAATGTGTGTCTGTGACTTCGTGTGTCAAGAATCTAGTAAATGTTTACGGTTTGGGATGATACACATAGTGCAACCTATGAGAGTGTAGTGCCCTCTACAAATGCCATTATATAATTGATTTAAAGTGTCCAAACTTGATACTTAGTTAAATTTACTACTAAAAATTCATTTATCATAAACCAAACAAATGACATACTGTAATTGTGGCACTCAAGGTATTATAAGGACATCAACGACTAGTAATAACCCTAGAATAATATTTTATGCTTATCCTAAAGAGATATACGGGTTACCATTTCATTATTTTAACTTTGAATTAATATTAATTTTACATAATATACGTCATGTGTTTGATATTAAATTTTTAGGGACATAGTCTGAGTTTATCTGTTGGGTTGACTAAGCAAAAGACAATAATTCAACGATGATTTGTAAGTTAGTTCGATTGAAAAGAATCTTGAAACCAAAAATTTGCACTGGAAGATAGCATTAATTTGTAGTTGGATTTTTTTTGGTATTGTTGTGTACAGTTGTAAGCTTTTATGTTTATTAACTAAGTTTATGTAAAACTTATTACTTAGGGGGTGTTTGGATTAGCTTATTAGCTTATTGCTTATAGCTTATTTGTGGTGAGAATAAGCAATAAGCAATAAACATGGGGAGAGATGCTTATTAAAATTAGCTTATTTAGCTTAATAAGCTGGATTTTATCCAAACACTCAAATTAGCTTATTGTGGGAATAAGCAATAAGCATATCTTTTTTTCCTATCCAAACACCCCCTTAATCTATGTAATATGCAATGTTTTCTTGCTTATTGGAATACCATTCTGGATTCACATAATGAATTACAATTACATAGGTAATAAAACAACCATCAAATGGTGTGGTATTTCCCATTTAGATGGAGGGGGAAGAGGGTGAACAGTTTGCTTTGATTAATCAACAACACCAAAAAAAAAAAATTGTGGAACATCCATGTTGACTACATTCCAATGTATGTTAGGGAAATAAGCTAATGCCCATTTTGCATGATCGATGTTGGCAAACACTTCACGAACATCAGGGGTTAGCTGATGAAAGTTTGTTCAAAATTAGACACAATATATGAGTTGGGTGCCATCCAGAACAAATGTTTCAATGTTCTTCTAGAGACGCCTCGTGTGCGCATATACATGAACATACTTTTAGAAGTATACCCATGATAAGAATCAGGGAATACATTGTCTTTGAAAGAACTAATGACATCATCCATATTGGTTATGAATGATACTTCTCTACCCTGCCTGATAGATTCCTTTAACCTAATAAGGAACCATGTATAATAGTAGAGATTATTTTCTACAGCCAGACCAAATGCTGTTGGGAGGTCTAGTTGTTCTCGTCCATAGCCACCACTACGAACATTGTGTTTAGATAGTCCATTCTTAGATGGACACTACCTATGAAGATGACAAGCAACAAGTAGTTGAAGAATGTATACGATTGTATTTTTTGGAACATAAAACAATTAGTTTTGATATAAAAACATTATCAGTTTTAAAGAAACAATAGAAAAGTGGAAACAAAAATATACCACACATCTAATAGCCACAAAACAAGCTTGGAAGCGATCCATCACATGAGTTTTGATATAAGTGTAAGTATGCAAGTTAGTTTGCCTAAGTTTGTGTAGGTAATTAGGTAGTTTGTTAAAGCTTCTTCGTGCTTACTCTTTGGGAACTCATCTTCAAGCGGTTATAAGAGATAATTATGAATTATCGGAGGTAAGGGTATAAGTACATGTAGATGAGTTTCTCAAAGACTAAGCACGAATAAGCTTTTAACAGACTACCTAATTACCTACAACATGTCCAAAACATGTGTCTGTGGCTTCGTATTGTCACTTCACTGTAAGAGGTTGACAATCGTACATAGATTCTTATTTCGGAATGGCAGTCTGGAACATACGAAGATGAGAGCAAGAACAGAGAATCTGGGTGTTATGAATTTCGTGTGTACCATCAAATGAAGACCAAAAATTAGTTAAGTAACATTTCCATTAGAAAACTGTCATCAGACAGTTGTATGTCTGAAAACTGTCACAAAAAACAGTTTGATGTCCGAAACCTGTCACTAATCAGGGTTATTTATATAAGGGTCAAAACAAAGTAAAAAACCGGGTTTATTTCAAAAAATTCAAATTTCTGATGCATTTTTGATACAGCAATATAACCCAAATAAAAATTTTATGCGCTGATCTGTTAGCTCAACCCCAGCTAGGGGCTTTGCCCCTTCGACCCCGCCAGGGGCTGCTGCCCCTTGGACCCCGCTCCCAGGGGCGTTGCCCCCGGACCCCCGTTCGTTTAGGGTTTTACCCCTAAATAACAGTCTACTTTAAATCTTGAATGAACTTAAATAAATGTACACTCCACACCTTTCTTACTTGTTTAATATTCATCAATATTGATTTTTGGTAAACAAGTCAATCCATTACACTTAAATACACATTGATGATACAAATTTACCAACATATGATCATGTATAATATTTTTAAATCATGATAATTTAAAAAATAATAATAACAAATTGACCATACTACAACAGTACCCCCCTAAATATTAACCAGTTAACCCTTAAATTCTTATCATGATGATACCCACCAAAGTCGTTGTTATATCTTTGATTCATCGTTGTACAAGGGTTTGATTTCGATTCGTTCTTCTTTAATGCAGATTTTGTATTTAGGGTTATGGTTTCGATTTTTTAGTTTTTAGAATACGAATTTTGTATTTAGGGTTCCTGGTTTCACATAAACCGACAACCGAAGTTTATGAAGTGACGAGTCTTCCTCAAAGTGTAGGAGTAAAAAAGCATATATTCTCACTAATATTCTATATAGTTTGATATTTGATAACAGTTTGCAAGGCAACAATTACTTCATATATACAAGGACTTTTGCAAATTTATAAACCTTTAACACGATCCTCCCTCAATTTCCCCAGGCGTGTTTCAATTTAGCATTTACAGGGACATGAGCACAATTTGTGTTGTAGTGTGATGATTTGTATGGTTTGGCTCTTAGAACCTTGTTACATTTGCATAGATTTTGACAGCAGATTGATTGTTTCTAGTTTTAGCTAATTTCTTCCGTTTGAAAATGATGTCTTTGAGTTGTTACAACAAGGCTAATGTTAATTTGATTATGAATATGTTGAATTGCAGGTCAACTGCTTACGTTTTTTACTTCTAGAAACACCATATTTCCATTGTTTTTCAATTAAATTATATGGTGTTGTTGGTGATTGAACTAAGTAGAAGTATCATCAAGGTCAAGTTATCTGGCTGCATTTTTCGAAATGTGACAGGTTTAAATGATGTTGTTTGTAGAAGTATTTTAGGGACAATTACTATAATTTGGTCCTAGTTAAAAACCAAACTTTCACTTCAACGCATAATATTTATTTCATTTTCTTTTTCTCTGATGTATTTATCAAGAATTGTATCATACTTTGATTGCTTGAATCCATTACCATTGTTGTAATTTGCACGTGGACCCTTTGATATTCTATTGAGAAGCTCCTAAACTTTGTGAAGAGTTGTTTGATGGGATTTCCATAGAATCAAAAAAACGTTCCATAAAAGTAATAAGCTTCTAGCAACAATTCCATATTAATAATGTACTCTTTGAAGTTGACTTTAATAACATTAAACTTCCAGATGAAGTTAAACCAAATTTGAGAATCTATTAATTCAATTAATGTTGAAAAACATCATATGCGCCCATCATAAACATAACTACAAATGGCGTCAAACGTAAGACACGAAAAATAAATTTGTTATTTTTACATGGTCTTTTGCATGTTAGAGGATTAGAAAGTTACCATTATACCTAAACATGGCCTTCAAGACTCTCTTTGCAGTCATCTTTGGTCAAGCAACAGACAACCTCGATGACATAATGTCTTCCATTATTAGAGTAAAAAATTTACACTTTGGTTGAGAACACTCAATCATGATTTTTAAAAGTCTTTAAAATCCTTCAAAGCTACATTAAAAAAAATAAAAATGTTTTATATGAACAAAATTTAAAGAAAATTTTAAAGATGTATTGATTATAGCATTTCTCTCTAATTCCATATCACATACATTTCTTCGCTTAGAGTGATCTTGATATATGGTGGAGCCTACCATACAACACAATTCTTATATATGATTACGGTCTTGACCATTACAAAAATAGTTCGTGTAAGTCCCATTACACAAAGTAATAGTCCATGTGTAAATTATAACACTAGCTCTATACATAATTCATTGTTCAATATAATAATTGAGTAATCAATATTCCGAACTTACAATCAAAATCGATGACCATAATTTTTATTCACAAGTAGAAAATTATTGATAGCTCATTGTTTCTAACTGACATTTCATAACAATACTGATGTTGATTTAATGATGACAGTGTGAGAGCGACGTACGATCCTTGCTTCTTTGAAGCATGTATACATATACGATCAAATTAGGATTAAATGCGTGATCCAACATGTGCGTGTACGTCTGTGATACGTGAGTTCCAAAAATGTTAGAGACAATGTAACAATGATGTCAACTTGGTTTTTGTTAAAAGAGTATTAATAGTTAGGGGTAATATAGTCGGTCTATTATTTTTTTAAATTAGAATGTTTAAAAAACATAAAAATTGATTATAATATATAAAAAAATGTTTAAATAAAGGTTGAGGCAAATAAGTTTAAGGACTATGATTATATTATACAATATTTTGTGGATTAATAAGGATACATATAACCTTTTTATTATTATTTTGGTAATCAAATCTAAAAGGTTTGATGTTGAAAGGCCATGGACTCTTGGTTGATTCGGAGTCTTGGTTCTTCAAAGCTTCCAACATAACCACATCATCTCTTTCTCCTTCTCGCCTAGAATTTAGCTAAAACCTGCAAACCCAATCAAAACCTCTGCTTAACCATGAAGCTACCAAAATTTATGTTCGCTGGCGTTCTAATCTTAGGGTTTCTATCCATAGTCGCACAATCCATCCGTTTCGAGATCGAATCAGGCCATACAAAATGCATATCGGAAGACATCAAAAGCAATTCTATGACAGTCGGTCACTACTCCGTAGTTAATCCCAACGAAGGACAGCCATTACCTGAATCCCACAAATTCACTATCAGGGTAAATCAAATACAATCAAATAAATGACTCAGAAATTTTCACTTTCTTAAGCTCGAAATCGTCAATTACGATGTACATCTTTTGTCCCAATTCGATAACTTGAGTTTTATCATGCATTTGCTTTTCTTGTATAGAGAATTCTGATGTTGCAGAGTTCTGAACTTTGTTTAATTACTAGTGGAGATGTCAATTTTGGTTTTTCTGTTTTGGGATTTCGTGTTTATGTGGTCAAATTTGAGCGAATTTTGGGATGAAGACGTGATTTTGTCACACGCTAAACATGATCTGATTGAACTTGTTCTTCCTTCGTAACTCAGGTGACTTCGGTGTACGGGAACTCCTATCACTACGCCGATCATGTACAGTCGGGACAGTTTGCATTTCAGGCTACTGAGGGAGGGGATTACATGGCATGCTTTTTTGCCATCGATCATCATCCCTCCATTAAAATTCCTATCGAGTTCGATTGGAGATCTGGCTTGGCTGCTAAAGATTGGTCTAATGTAGCCAAAAAAGGTTCTGTAGATGTAAGTATTCTTCCCACAATGCATACAATCAATCATCAATGCGATAAATCAAATTTCAATCGGTAAATTAGTTCTTTTTATAGGCAATGGAGTTGGAGCTAAAAAAGCTTGCAGACTTCGTGAGTTCCATTCATGAAGAGATGTTTTATCTCCGAGAAAGGTGATTCAACAATCTTTGTGTTTCGATTGCTGCAGTTATTTAAGGTTAATGGGAGGTGATTTATTGTGTGGTTGTTACAGGGAACATGATATGCAAGAGCTTAATAACAAGACAAATTCAAGAATGGCGTTATTGAGTTTTCTTTCACTGTTCGTCTGCTTGTCAGTTGCAGGTTTGCAAGTATGGCATTTGAAATCATTTTTTGAAAAGAAGAAGCTCATTTAGTTCCATAGCATCAAGGTTAATAGCTGTTGTAGACTTTTTTTTTTTTTTTTTTTTTTTTTTTTTTTTTTTTTTTTAAAGCATGAGATCTTGTAGTTTGTTGTTGAATACAATATAGACTTGTTATATACCACTTAATTATATGGATTGTTTTTTTAATATTAAAAAGTTTTTTTAATATTAAAAAGTTTTTTTTTTTAATAAATGTTAATTCCAATAATGTGTTAAGGACGTTTTTATATGAATATTTCAAAAAAATAAAATTTAATTCAACAAAACATTGAATATTTCAAGAAAAAAGTTAATTCAACAAAAAAACACGTTTAACAATGTTTTTAATTTCTTATAACCAAAAAATAAAACTTAATCTTGTTTTGTTGTATATAGTTTTTATCATTTGTTACGCATTACTTCAATTATTGTATTTTAGGATATCATACTAGCTAAACTATTGTATGTTTTAGGTATCTTGCCATTCAAAATATGTAATTAGTTCTTGTTAATGGAGAGTATCGTGTATTCTTTTTTTTTTTTTTTTTTTTTTTTTTTTTTTTTTAATTTCCAGTTAATAGTATTTGAAGCCTAGGCAATATTTGAATATCAATAAAATGATGTTTAGAGTGTAATGAATAATTGATACATGTAGTTAAACGAGTCAAAGTTTAATAAATTTTAAAGGTTAAAAATAAAGTCCAATAGGAAAAGGGATGCGGATGTTTAGAGTGTAACGAATAATTGATACATCTGGTTAAAATTAATAGACAAAACTTCAAAAATGGTCCATGTGGTTTCCGATAATATCAAATTCATAAGTTCAAAAAATCTTACAGATGGTCCATGTGGTTTCAAAACTTTTAACATTTAATCCTTCCAGCTAACTTCGTTAGCTTTTGGCCGTTAAGTGGAGGGTATTTATGTCATTTCGCTACACAGAGACCATTTATGAGGTTTTTAATTACTTTTTTTTTTAAATAAATAAATATTTAATATTTAATATGCAAGGGGTCCCACCCCATCTCTCTCTCTCTCTCTCTCTCTCTCGATTTTATCAAGTCAAAATCAATTTTACCATGAATCTGATACAAAATCTTCATTAGTTACCTCTTTCATTTGATTCTTGTAGATTAGAACAAATAGGGAAAACCATACAAAGAAAAAACCCAGAATAAACTCCAGCCTCCACCTCAATCGTGGTCCTCCTGCTCTGCCACTCCATTTCTTGTTGAAACCCACCTCCAATGCCACTATCTTTTTAGCGATGACACCAATCTTCACTGCCATCTCCATCGTTCTTATCCTCGTTCTTCAACTTATGTCTTCACTGATGTTTGTTAGCAAGAAGCATGCTCCAATATGATTGTATTGACCATATTGTGTTTGTAATTGACAAGGGAAGCAAAGAATGAAAGGTGATAGATCTGATTGACTTTAAGTAGTAAGGTCTCAACAAAATCGTGTCAAATTAGCTCAAATCCAGG